TTCACAAAAAGGGAGGATGATTAAAAAATGAAACAGCCCCTGAAAACACAATTTATACTTTCTGGAAGTTATTTTTAACAAGGTTCTTCCCACAACGTGGTTCCAGAGGCTCTGGGCAGCTGAGAATTTAGGAGTACCACAATTCCAATCCTGGATCTAGCCTGCCACCCCCTCCCCCCGCAGTAGGTACATGAACAAGAATATAGCCACCCCACTACCATCTGGCATTTACCTCCACTGCTCCACAGAAAGGGCTCTCATCAAGGTTACCAATGACCTTGTTGCTAAATCCAATAGACATTTTGAGCTCTTATGGAACCTCTCTGTAACATTGCCACTCTTGACTACTTTTCCTTTTTATATACTCTTTGCTCCTTCAACACTGCTCCTGGATTCCAAAACAACATCCATCTTACTTTCCTCTTTGCTGGCTTACAACACTCATCTTACTTTCCTCTTCTTAGATTCTTCCTAGGTAAGAATCTAAGAAACTTCTCTTACTCCACCCCTTAAATTTTCCTGTTCCAGTGATGCACAAGCTAGAAACACTGACACCATTTGGGCGTCTGTAAGGAAAACAGAATCTCTGGCTCCACCCCAGTACCACATTTTAACAAGGTACCGGTTGATTCCTCGGCACATTCAAGTTTGAAAACAATGCCTACAGAATTTAGGCTTGCACCCACTTCTCATCTTCTCTGGTCACTTCCTACTATCCACAGGACTACAAACTGCCAGTCTAGATTTCTTTAGGCATTAGAATCAGATGGCCTTCTACCTCCCCGAAATCCTCATGCTTTTTTCCCCCATGGATTTTATTTATTTTAGAGCAAGAGAGCATGCACATGTGTGCACACGGTTGGGGGGACTCAGACTGAGCTCATGACCTGAGCCAAAATCAAGAGTCTGACGCTACGAGGCACTACCTAGGCACTGCCAAATCCTCACTTTTTGAACTATAACAGAATCAAACTCCATCCTTAAACTAAGTTCATCAGCTTCCTCCATCAAGCCTGTTCCTTATATAATCATCAACACGTGATTTATTAATACTTGCGTTCCCCTTGCCTCCAGATAAAAGCAGTTTTGAATCTACTTCTTAAATCACTTTTTAAATCACAATTTAAAAAAAAAAGATTTTATTTATTTGACAGAGAGAGATCACAAGTAGGCAGAGAGGCAGGCAGAGAGAGAAGGGGAAGCAGGCTCCCTGCTCCCTCCCTCCCGAATCCAAGCCCAATTCAGGGCTTGATTCCAGGACCCTGAGATCATGACCTGGGCAGAAGGCAGAGACTTAACCCCCTGAGCCACCCAGGCACTCCTCTTAAATCACTTTAATCTGTCCCCTTTGCTCCATCTCCACTCCTAATGTCCTAATTCAAGCTATCATTTCTCACTCTGGTTACTGCAAAGGCTACAAAACTGGTTCCCTGTCCCAGGATTGCCTCTTTTCAACTCATTTTCTATATTGCTGCCAGAATGAACTTAAACACAAATTCAATCATTTAATTTTTTGCTTCAAATGATTTAGTGGCTTACAGGAGTTCTTAGGGAAAGTCAATAAATTTCAAGGCCCGCCTTATTTTTCTAGCCCTAGGCTTTTCAAATTGCTGCTTATAAAATTGAAGGATCATGACCAGTATTAATAAAAAAGAGAAAGCAAAAAAGGTACCAACAACACACCCAGAGCAATATACAGATAAATTAAGTATTATTTTATGATACTTTTTGTTCAATTATACATAGGTGTGTACTGGGTGCAAATTAACATATATTCCTTTATGTGGGAAGTGGTCAACAAGTTTGAAAGTCATTGTTCTACCTTCATCTCATCACACTAAACACCCTATGCCCTATTCTTTCAGTTCCTTGAGTCCTCCTAACCTCTAAATTGTGGCACCTGCTGCTGCCTCTGCCTGAAAATCCCTTTCCAAATCCCCCAACTCCAAACACATACACATTTTGCTATCCTTCAGCTTTCAGCTTATGGGTTACTTCCTCTGGAAAACCTACAATCTTCTTAGTTTGAGTTTAGTGACAGCCCATATTCTCATTACAATACTGTAACATTGTACTCTATCCCTCTTGTAACCCTTAACATACCACAATTTCTGTAAGATAGTGACTACCGTCTATTAACATAGTGCTTAAGATAGTGTCTCAGATATTTCAGATACTCAGCTAAAAAAAAAAAGTTGAAAGAAAAAGAGCACATCGTTAGAATGCAATAACTTGGTAAACAGGAATTACGTGAAAAGTAATTAAAGCTAAGGGAGATGACTGGGAAGCAATCACAAATGGCTGAAGGTGGTCCAAAAAAAAAAAAAAAGATAAACCAATCACTGAAAATGGTCATATTTAGATTGAAAAGATGGAGATGAATTTCAGAGAGAATGGTATGGGACCTGTAATAAAAAACAAAAACAGAAGTTGTATTTACAAAAGCTGTAATTATGTCGTATTGGGGACATGGGCTCAGTACACTGAAGGAAACCTGGTATACTGAAACTATGTTACCAAGATTTCCTGTAAAATATGTTAGGATGCACTGTAAATGTTTTCAACTCAGACAGAAGTGATCTGGCTTCCAATCCCAAGATGTGAGCTAGAGAATGAGATGACTTAATTTTTGCTTTTGAAAGCACCATGAGTGATTCTATAAAGGACAGACTTAGTGGAAAGCAGGAGTGGAAGCTAGAAGACTCGTTAGGAGGCCAAGAACACTGAACAAGATAGTGGCGTGATTTGTGGGATAACTGCTGTGGAGACAAGTGGTTGGATTTGGAATATATTAAGAAAGCAGAGCAGACAGATGTGCTGAAATGAAAGAAATATCAAAGATAAATTCCGTTTTTGCCTTGAAACATTTACCAAAATAAAGTTTGGGGAGAGGACAGAAATCCAGAGTTCCCTTCACAATGATCCATCACGCAACTAGCTTCAGATGGAAATAATAATAAACAATTTTTCCTGATTAAACTTTTCACCTGTTTACATCTTATTTTCCCAACATCATTATTTCTTCAGATCCCCATGGCAACATGCATAACACCTTGTGGGAAACAGGGGCTAAATAAAATAAAGAATAACTTTCTAGTTACCGCATACATCCTTTTATAGCAATCAGCCTATATTATTCTTCCAATTTTAAGATGACTTAGATAGGCTTCCCTCCGTTTAAAAAAAAGTTTGTTCAATGAACAACTTTGGGCTGATGTGTGTGTGTATTAAAAGAGAAGAATGTGATAAGGTGTGAAGATAAATGAGTAACGCCAAAAAACGCTTTTATGAAAAGACAAGGATAAAGAACAAATAAATAAAATGATTTAGAAACAAAAGCCTAAATAAAGGTTTAATTACACACATTCTTTATCTAATATGAAGGATTTTTTTAAGATTTTATTTATTTATTTGACAGACAGAGATCACAAGTAGGCAGAGTGGCAAGCAAAGAGAGAGAGGGGAAAGCAGGCTCCCCACTGAGCAGAGAGCCTGATGGAGGGCTCCATCCCAGGACTCCGGGACCACGACCTGAGCTGAAGGAAGAGGCTTTAACCCACTGAGACATCCAGGTGTCCCTGAAGGATGTTTTTAAAGAAGTTACTAGGGTGCCTGAGTGGCTCAGTTGGTTAAGCAACTGCCTTCAGCTCAGGTCATGATCCAGGAGTCCCAGGAACTAGTCCCTCACCGGGCTCCCTGCTTAGCAGGGACTCTCTTCTCTCCTCTTGCCCCCTCTCTCTCTCAAATAAATAAGATCTTTAAAAAAAAAAAGTTACTAAAAAGATGCCTCAGACTTACAGTAAGAAAACTTCTGTTTAATAAAAACAAAATGCAATTAAAAAAAATTGAAGTTCTCACCAAATGAACTTCGATGCGTCCCTTATTACAGATCTTCAAGATATAAATCAAATGGGCAATCACAACCTGAAGAGACTAAATCAAATCATTTTTCTGAAATTTCTTGTTTCCAGGATCCTAAGTTTCATTCTCAAAGAGGAGCTGCCAATCAACAGAACTCTCCCCAGCCCAACATAAAAAAAAAAAAAAACCAGCAAACCACAAACCTGTAAGTTTATGATTATTTTAATACTAAAAATGAAAGCTAGACTATTCTTCTGAACGACCTATATTCAGAATAGTGCTTGACAGCTTTTATTCTGCGCAAACCTGTATGTTACAAAGAAGGCCGCTGTTTTCGAGCTCTTCAGGCAAGAGTGGCCATAATTTTTCTAAGAGAAAGGGTGGCCAAGGATACTATGACACGGACATCCTAATACAGTTAACTTCGGAAAGGACCTGAACTTACTGTTTTGTTCACCGTTCTGACATCCTTAAAGAAAAATACACATTCACGTTGCATAAATCTAAATGCTGAGCATGGCTAACGAAAAACGACAAAATATCCGCTAACGCAAGTTTTAGCAGAATACCTTTGCACACTTTTCACTTCACAAAGCACATGCACCAGCTAAGAAACAAACAAAAAGCAAGGAAAAGGTTAGGGGCGGCGAAGGGGAAAAAAGTGCCCAGTCTCATCCCTCTCCACTATCAAGTCTCAGATTTACCTCCTGCCTCTCCGCCTCCTTGTTCTTCTGTCCCTGTTTCTTAGCATACCACAAGCCGATTTCGCGGCCTTTCAGGTGCCCAGGATGTCGGCCTCTGCCGCCTCGACCACCACCACCTCCTCCTCCGCCGCCGCCGCCGCCGCCTCCGGAGCCTCGGTTCCCTCCATGGCCTCCTCCATGGCCCGCCCCATAACTTCCTCCATAGCCCCCGCCGGAGTTGCGGGGCCCACCATCCCGGCCCCAGTTCTGATGGTAATCATAGCTCATTGTCCCAGCGGACTACAACTCGTGAGAACCCACAACCGCTAGAAATGGCGCCCGGGCCCGGAAGCGGGTGCACATCCACTTCCGTTTTGCTTCCGGCGCCCAGCGCGAGAGGGAGGGCCGTTTGAGCGTCACAGCAGCTGCTTCCGGTGACGTCGCAGGCGGCGCCGTCGGTGGTCCGGAAAGTGGCTCAGGTGAAGTCTTCTTTGACGTGTCTTCTGTTGTCTCTTTGTACCTGTGGACGGAAAGCGAGCAAAGCCTCGCAGGTTTCCTTTACCTACGCCCAACATGTGAGGCAATGGATTTTGGTTTTTACTTTCTTATTACCCGTAGTGAAATCCGAAGTTTGCTTCCAATTAGGGTCTGGAAAATAGACATCTGTAGACACAATAAAAGAACCCGAGGATGGAGGCATTTTTTCCTAAAAGCCTCAAAAGAAATGAGTTCATTTTTTTTTTTTTTTGTAGCTGCGTCTTGAAAATAGCTTCATACCTGTTTCAAATAAGTACAAACTGTCGCTTCCTCTCTTAAAGGATTATCATTATTTATTGCCTTTATCCAACAGCATAACAAGGAGCATGGCTGGTAAAAATAAAAAAATGCTCTTAGGCGGGGCACCTGGGTGGCTCAGTGCGTTAAAGCCTCTGCCTTTGGCTCAGGTCATGATCCCAGGGTCCTGGAATCGAGCCCCAGCATCCTCTCTCTGCTCAGCAGGGTGCCTGCTTCCTCCTCTCTCTCTACCTACTCTCTCTGTCAAATAAATAAAATCTTAAAAAAAAAAAAGGTCTTAGGCAATTTAAACAAAGGCAGTTGAAGAATCATATATGTTCATGTGAAGCCATTTATTGTTGATTGACCAGGCCACTTAGTGTTTAGCAAAGCTGTTTTTGAATAAATCAAATGACTGGGCCACACAGGCCTGGATGTCACCAGAGGACCTCCAGTTCATTTACATATTTTAACTGATTTAAAGGTGCTGGCCTCAGCTTTCATTTGCTTACAGTCTTGGAAAGGCAAAAGAAATTACTGTGCAATGAGGTTCAGACTACACCTCTGGGGCATAAAAATTATTTTGAGCAAAGGCATTTGAGTTTCTGAAATATTTCAACTGCCTAAAAGCAGAGCCTCCCAAAGGAGTTCAAAAGAACTCAATTGTCATAAATCCCTTCCCCTGGGAGAGAAACTGACAAAATAGAGTCATTACTGGAGACTAGAAATCAGCATCACTCCTAAGCAGGAATTATCACAAGACTATTATATATTCTGTTTGTTCTCATAAGAGCCCATTTTTTCCTTCCTAGAAGTTGCTTTCACATGAGTATCTTTTGCCTCCTCCCCTTCCCCTATTAAGATAGTATATAAGCCCTAAGTTCTAAACTTCTCCTTGAATTACATTTTTATATGTAGTCCCACCCATTTGTGATTAAATCTGTCTCTTCTCTTGCTAATCTGTCTTTCACTCTTTTAATTTTCAGGCCCCCAGGATAAACCTAAGAGAGTAGAGGAAAAGATTTTCTTACCCAGCAGGCATTAGATGTTACAGCAAAATAATTTAATTTTAGAATCAGGTAAGTCCTTTCTAAAGAATGAGAGGTTAAGCAGTGACTTTTGAGATAAGTAGACTTTAGCCAGACTAATGGGGAGTAGAGAGATTGTTACAGGTGGAGGAAACAATGGGCGTGAAGGGAGATGATAAAATGTTGGAGAGTGAGCCACCTGCGTGGCTCAGTTGGTTAAGCATCTGTTTTCAGTTCAGGTCATGATCTCAGGATCCTAGGATCTAATCCCATGTTAGGCTCCCTACTCAGCAGAGAGTCTGCTTCTCCCTCTTCTTCTGTCTGTCCCCCTGTTTGTGTTCTCTCTCTCTCACTCTTGCTCTCTCTCTCAAATAAATAAAATCTTTAAAATATATATATATTGAGAGTGAGAAAAGTCTACCCTTAAACTTTAAGATTGTTGAAGACCAAAGAAGTAGAAAGGAGTGTAATCACATAGAGAACAATATTAAACTTTAAGGAGAGTGGTTATTTTTGGCTGCTTTGAAGAAAAAGGAATGGTGGAGGCAAGAATGGATAAGCAGAGGCTAGTTAAAAGGCTATGATTTAGGGGAGGCAAGATGGAATGAAAAGGACTAGAATTAAGAGATATTGGGAGATTTAAAAAATCTCAGATTTGATGATTCACTGGATGTGGACAATTAGAGGAAAGGGTCAGATAACTCTTGAGATTAAGATTTGAATGACTACCAAATAAAGAGATACCGTATCCTGAGATGAAAAATACAGGATGAGGAGGTTTTGTTTTTTGTTTTTTGTTTTTGAATGGGGGAACAGTTGAGTTAATGCATTTAAATAATACATGTGGAGGTGCCTGGGTGGCTCAGCTAGGCGTCTTCCTTCAGCTCAGGTCATGATCCCAGAATCCTGGGATTAAGCCCCACATCAGGCTCCCTGCTCAGTGGGGAGTCTGCTCCTCCCTCTGCCCCTTACCCAGCTTCTCTTCTCTTCTCTTCTCTTCTCTCTCTCTCTCTCTCTCGTGCGTGCACTCTCTCTAATAAATAAATAAAATCTTTAAAACTTTTTATATAATACATGTGGAATTTGAGGAACCCATGAAACATACAAATTGAGATGTCTAGAAAGTGGTTGGTTACATGAGTTAAAAACACAGAGAGCAGACTGAGATACATTTTTGTAGTCCTTGGCAAATATGATTAAGACTAAGGAATGAGTAGTTCCAATAAATGTATTGGAATTTATTGGACATACCTGCAGTGACAAGTATGTGAATTTTCAGTGGGTGAGATTGGGTAGGCATACTGGGGATCGTTGGGGCAAAATATGAAGGAAATAGTGTGGATTGTTGTTAGCTAAGAGAGTTTATGAACTGAATGGGTCTCCTCAAAATTTATATGTTGAAGACCTAACCCCCAGGGTAGCTGCATTTGGAGATAGGGCCTCTAAGGAAACAATTAAATGAGGTCATGAAGTTGGAGCTCTAATCTTATAGTATTAGTGTCCTTATAAGAAAAGATACCAGAGAGCTCATTCTCTCTTTCCTAAGAAGAAAGGCCATGCGTGGTCAAAGATGTCGCCAAGCTAGGAATGGTGCTCTCACCAGGAAACAAATCTTTCAGCACCTTGATCTTGGACTTCCCAGCCTCCAGAACTCTAAAAAAATAAATTTCTGTTGTTTAAGCTGGAATAATACCATAAATGTATGGTACTTATTTATTAATAAATAGCATTTATTTATTAAACCAATAAAGTGGTTTAATAGCACTGAAACCAGTGGCGTTTTACTGAGGCAGCCTGAACAGACTAATAGAGTATTAAGACTAATAGGGAGTAAGTGGGGAAGAAAACTAGCATTTATTTGTTGCCTAGCATGTTGGCTGGGCGGTTCACATTTGTGGTCAGCAGACTAATGACCCCCATAGATCCACATCCTGTCCCTAGAACTGTCACTATGTTAAATTGCATGGCCAAGGGAAATTAAGGTTGCTAATCAGCTGACCCAAAAGTGGGGAGGTTATCCTAGATTATCTAGATGAGCTCTATATAATTAAAAGTGTCCTTCAAAGTAAAAGAAAGAGAAGAGAATTTCATAGTAATGTGATATGAGGACTCAAGCAACTGCTACTAGCTTTGAAGATGGAGGAAGAGGGCCACAAGCAATGGAATGTAGGCAACATATAGAGCTGGAGAAGGAAATGTATTCTCCTAAGGAGCCTCCAGAAAGGAACACACCCTACGTACCCCTAGATTTTAGCCTACTGAGGACCCTTACTAAGCGTCTAAACTATAGAATCATAGGGTACTACATTTGTGTTAATTAAGACTGAGTTTCTGGTAATTTGTTATGTCAGCAATGGAAAAGTAATATAATATTCCATATTTCACATAATCCTTATGACAACCCCAGAGAGAGGTAGTGTTATCTCTGTTTCCTGCTAAATTCTATTATTTCTTTTCACCTCATGTTTGTTAATCCTAAGCATAATCTTAGTTATCAACTTAAAATTACTAATTTATCCTGACTCTTTTTTAAGATTTTTAAAAAATATATTTATAAGATATTATTTATTTATTTGACAGAGAGAGAGAGAGAGAGAGAGATCACAAGTAGGCAGAGAGGCAGGCAGAGGGGGATGCAGACTCCCTGTTGAGCAGAGAGCCTGATGCGGGGCTTGATCCCAGTACCCCAAGATCATGACCTGAGCCAAAGGCAGAGTTTTAACCCACTGAGCCACCCAGGTGCCCCTTTTCCTGACTTCTTTAGCATGAAGTAATATGGTTTTGCTTGAGGCTATTGCTTTAGGCAGACACTTTAGAGCAAATGTCAGTGTAGTAAAAATCTGCCCAAAAGGAAGGTTTTTAAGGAAAGACCACAAAGGTATTAGAAGAAAAGTAGCAGTTGATACTTTGGGTTTTGTTTTGTTTTCCTGCTTTGCTTGAAATCTGCAAGAATTCTTAGGTTACCTAATGCCCAAAAACAAAAGGAGTGACAAACTCATTAGAGTAGCCATTGTTACTCTTACTGATGCTCTGCTTTGTCCTGTGCTCTGGGCAGGCTAGAAAGATGTCTTTCTTAAATGTGCTCTCCACTGATCATGAGCTTTGATATTTTTACAAACTTCTTGTGTTGTATCACAGACACATCTGCAGCTATTCATAGGAAAACTAGAAGTAGGAAAACGAATGCTAATACTGCAAGTGATATTTACTGAGCACTTATTATATGTCAGGTACAATGAATAGGCATATTTTTTCCCTATTTTATTATGGTTAGGGTAAGAAAGTCAAAGGATGGAAGGACTAAAAAGAATGAGACCTCCTCAAGGCAACGATCTCACTGTCATTGATATATTTCATGAGGAATAATGTAGTCTTATGAAAGAAAAAACTAAGTGTCTGCAGCAGTATTTATTCTTCCTTGCTTTAAAAGCTTCCATTTTCAGTCCCTGAAACCTCATTTATCTATTTATCAGAGACACTTTTGTAATACTAAATCAACATATTTTTAGTCCTCGCCCCTATAAGTCATGTTCCCCAGTAGACATTTCACAATTATAACTCCAGAGAGGGGAGAGTGTGAAGTCTGCCTTAAGGAAGATGATATAAAGGAATGAAAACCCCTGATACCTAGGAAGTAAAAAAAAAGGAAGTCTTGGGGCACCTGGGTGGCTCAGTGGGTTAAAGCCTCTGCCTTCAGCTCAGGTCATGATCCCGGGGTTCTGGGATCGAGCCCCACGTTAGGCTCTTTTCTCGGCGGGGAGCCTGCTTCCTCCAGTCTCTCTCTCTGCCTGCCTCTCTGCCTACTTGTGATCTCTGTCTGTCAAATAAATAAATAAAAATCTAAAAAAAAAAAAAAAGTTAAAAAAAAAGAAGGAAGTCTTAAATTATAAGAGAATATGGGTGAAGGTGGAAGGGAGGGAAAGATGTGTTTAAATTTTGACCTCCCTCTTTCATCTCAGCTTTCAACATATTTCCTGCTTACCACTTTGAAAGCACACCATATTTTGAATATTTTTTAAATCTCTGGTTATAGTTTTTAGTATATCCAGTGTGCTAAAGAGAAAAGTTAATTATTGAATCCCTGCATTCCCCTGGAATGCTGGGAGATTTTACTTTTTCTTTTTTCCTTTTTTTTTTTTTTTAAGATTTTATTTATTTGTCTCAGAGAGAGCAAACGAGCTAGTGCACACAGGCAGAGCCAGAGAAAGAAGCAGGCTTCCTGCCAAGCAAGGAGCCCGATGCAGGATTCTATCCCAGGACCCTGGGATCATGACCTGAGCTGAAAGCAGCGGCTTAACCTTATACTGAGCCACCCAGGCATCCCGAGATTTTACTTTTTCATTATCTCAAATTGATCTGTCCTCCTTTATGCCAATTTTGTCAGCTCCTATCACCAGTTTCCTTGCTTCTCTGACTTTTACGGAATCTTTTAGATGGGTCAGAATTTTGTCCTGGTCTTCATTCTAAAATTGGTAAACACTCCCTGGGGCTAATAATATATTATATATTTATAAGAAAACAAAAAAATTATTAAATAAAATTGGTAAACACTGAAGTGTCTTGATCTAAGAACACCAAACCTCTGTTCTACCTAGATCCATCAAGGGTATTCTTCTTGAACAAAGAAGAGAATCATATCTTTATCATAGTAGGGTTTTCATAGAAGAAGTAGGGTTTCAGAGAAGTTGCAGATTCTTAACCTTCATTTAGTATTTAAAAATTTTATAAATAATGGTATGACTAAAAGTTTTTACAGATAATCTTATCTGCTTGTGCTCTCCTCATCCCTAATCTTTCTAACATCCACTCAAGAATAACAGAGCTCTGGAGAGTTCAAGTGTAGGTCAAACAGTGATAGAGTTAGAATCAGAATCAGAGGTTGAAATTAAGCCTTCTGATTCCTAGCCCAAGGCTCTTTCCAGTGTACAGCCAAGATACTTACACACTTGAAAGGTTATAGATTGTGGATATGTCAGTTACAGTCTCTATAGAAAATAGATGGGTGTCTGCCTTCAGCTCAGGTCATGATCCCAGTGTCCTGGGATTGAGTTCGGCATCACACTGGGCTCCCTGCTCAGTGGGGAGCCTGCTTCTCCCTCTCCAGCCTGCTTCTCCCTCTCCAGCTGACCCATGCTTGTGTTCTCTCTCTTCCTATCTCTGTCAAATAAATAAGTAAAATCTTTGAAAAATGTATATTAAAGAAAAAAGAAAACAGGGGCACCTGGGTGGCTCAGTGGGTTAAGCCTCTGCCTTCGGCTCAGGTCATGATCTCAGGGTCCTGGGATTGAGCCCCGCATCAGGCTCTTTGCTCAGTGGGGAGCCTGCTTTCCCCCTCCCCCTCTGCCTACCTCTCTTTCTCTCTTTCTCTCTCTGTCAAATAAATAAATAAAATCTTAAAAAAAAAAAAAGAAAACAGGTAACAATCTTAAAACAAGGTAATTCAGAGAACATTTGTATATATACATGTTAAAAGTATGTACACAAGTACAAAAGATCTTTTAAAGGAACTATAAAAGATTTCATTAAGCTGGAATTAGTAGCAACAGAGATATTATTATTTCTAGGCCCAAGGTGAATGAAGAAAGGAAATGAGTACCGGCGTCCTGAAAGAAAATGTTATAGAGTCAGCTTTCTGTAAGAAGCAGTGACTGCTGATAAAAGGTAAGATCCAGTCCAAGGTGAAGAGGAATAAATTTCCTGACCTCACTTTCTTCCTTGTCTCTGATCTCTTGCTGGAAGTCCCCATTGTCCAAACCCAGAGAGCATTTGCTTCTGTCTGTTTACATGGTTGGTGCAAGGCAATCTCTTGGTGCAAGAGAGTAGGATGGAGAAGAGTAGAGAAATTTGCAGAAGAAAAGTTAACATAACCAGTGCTCTGGTTCAGAGCATACTCTGATGCTTTTAGTTATAGTGAACTGTAAATATTTCAATAAAAGGCAAAGATCAATCAGAGAATTTTTCTGTCCCTTTATTCTTTTTCAAAAGCAGATATTATCTGTTTTCAGCGTCCTCTTTGAATGTAATTGTCCAAGCATTCTGTGGCTCCAGAGGTACTGCTTTCTTTGTGATTTGGTACTTTACAGTTAGCAGTAGGAGTGGGGTGTCCTCACCTTTAAGCTAAGCTTCTGAAGGCATGACATACTTGTCCCCCTTTTATTACCTTCTTTCAGGGTAAGCCTTGATGACATCGAAGCATAATTTTCTTATTTCACGCAAAATACAGAAAGAGAATATTTTTAAATTCTCTAATAGAAATATGAAAAGCAAATGAAGGACTTTTAGCAGGAAATGTATAAGTATTACCTAGTTTCCTTTTTACTTACTATAGGCATCCTGTGTTTTGGGGGGGAAAACATACAGATTAGGTATAACTTGCTTTACAACTATAGAGTGATTGTGTAGTTTATTGTCCAATTCTGTAAAAGTTAAAGAGAATGCTATTAATTTTTATGCCAGGAAAACAGTTGTAAATTGGGACCAGCCCAGGGAAACCAGACATTTTGTCATCGTTAACTATGAATTATTGTCACTGTCTGCTAATACCATCTGTTTCTTATGAAAGGAAAAAGAAGAAAAAAAATGGATGCCAGGATCCATGTTAAAGATCTTCTTGAGTATCTTGCATAACATACTTTCCCTTGAAAACTACATAATCTCATTAAATTAATGGATTTTTCTCTGTCTACTGTAAACAGATAATCTGGGAGTTCAGGGAAAAGATATTATGAATGAGTCCCGAGAAAAAAAAAATTTAACAATGAATTTTCATCTAAATAATGAAAATACAAAGTCTTAAGGCTTCTATGAAGCAAGTAGCTATGTATCTTTACTCCTGTAACCAGGTGACCATGGATTTGTCCAAACCCTAGTATTTTTTGATCCTCACATTTTAAAGCTTCTGGGAATTATATTTCTGCTGAGTGGCAGAAATAAAATTTGCTTCAGAGATTTTTTTTTTCTTTTTTTCTGGACAAGTTACTCAGTGAGACTATGCATATGTGAAGGTAAAGATTCTCCTCTAATAAAGTGTTTCTAGATGAAATGAATCCAGGAATCTAAACTGTTCTACATAATATTGCAAAATATCGTCATTGTAGTCATTTTGTATTGGGATTTTGACTGTCCAATGCCAAGTCCCTGCTTATTTTCAAAAAAACCCACAAAACATGTGTTTTTGTATATGTGAATGTTTGCATGTGTGTTCTTTATGTATTTTGAAGTTGAGATCTCAAGACTGTAGGAAAGACATAAAAATATGATTTTCTTTGTATTGTAGCTAAAGAAGAGATCATATAAACAAATTGACCTAGGTTTGGAGCAATATAGTCTGGTCTAGACTCAAGGCCAAATAACTCAAACTTGGGAAAATGTACCATTCTTGGATTATGGTATGCAGTATCTCTGCATCTCATGATACCAGGGAGGGGGCACTATTTATGTTCTATTATAGTATGGTATATTATTGTCTAGTTAGGGTCATAGCATGTGGCAGAGACTGGCTGCTAGACACCAAATTTAGGTGTCTTCTTCCTGTGCACAGATAAATATATACATCTGTCTCTTTTGAAGTTGAGGATGACTGTATACTGAGATGTCTCCACTATAGCAGAAGCTGCAGTGGCTAAACCTCTGTTCTTCCAGGCCACCCCTGAAACAGTCCTTGCAGGATCCTCCTTGTCCTTTCTCCTCCTGCCAGCTTAATACAGATGAACATAATGATCATAAAAATTGAAAAGGTGGAACTGCAGGATAGAAAGAACCTAGACTCCTAAACCATGTCTTAGAGGAGAAAGCCTCAACTGGTTAGGAACATTCGTTTAACTGCTGCTGCTTTTCTTCAACTTTGTCCTCCAAATCTTGCACAAATACCTCTCTCCGGCAGATGCTAAACCTGAAACTCACCGGCAAGAAAGAATGGAAAATATACTTTTCAGGCTTCTAGTCTCCGTGATATATGGAAGACACTAGAAACACTGGGATTTTCCAAGGTGTTAACAGAAAATAGATTGCCATAGGTAATTTTTTTCCTCAATTTAAAGGCTCCATAAAAAAACATTTAAGAAGTGAGTAATTTATTTAGTAACTAAGGAAATTCTTCCTATTTATTGAATTAGAATACAATACCATCACCATCTCCACTGCTATCACCCTAATCCTAGCAAATATCACCTCTAACTCAGACTACTAAAATAGCCTCCTGTTTCTTCTGTAATCATATTGTACTTTCATAGTCATTTCCCTTGACAACAATAGACAGTGATTTTATATTCAAACGTGTCATTCCTTTGCTTAGAACCCTCAATGACTTCCTTTAAATCAAATTTAAAATTAGATTCACAGTCCATACCTGGTCTTGAAGACACTAATGATATGTCTCTTCCTGCCCTTATCTGTCTTTATTTCCAATTGCTTTTTCTCTTTCTCACTTATCTGCATTTGTATTGACCTCCTCAATGGTTTCACAAAATACAAAAGGCATACTCCCAGTTTTGGGAATATGATGTTCCCTTTGCTAGAACTATGATTTCCCTAGATATATAGTGTGTTTTATCACTTTATTTGATTGATAAAATATTACCTTATCACTGAAGTCTTTCCTAACCAAAATATTTGAAAAATTACTCTTTCCATCATTGTCCTCTTATTTTCATTTTTTTCTTATCATTTTTATTATCTCTGGTACCTACTTTCTGTCAATACATTTAACATTACTTGAGATACATACATTTATACATGTATGGTATATAAATGTATAGTGTGGACCTTAACCCATCCAAAAAGAGGTCTCTCCCCTCTTGGGGAGGTTGCCTTTAAGTCCCTGAAACATGTTGCTTTATAAACGTGACTTTGTCTGGGGCCATGGATCAGCCAAATAGTAACAGTGTGATTTAAGGTAGAAGCTTTGTGCCATTCCTTATCAACTTGACTTCTTTAGGAGCTGGAAATCAGTCATGTGAGCAGTGAACCATGCTTACCCCTACTCCTAGCATGATGGAGTCCCAACAAAGAACTTGAACACCAAGATTCAAATGAACTTTCCTTCTTGGCAGTAATCCTTGTATGTTGTCTTACACTGATGTCTGGGAAAGTAATGCTGTCCTTGACTCCATGGAGAGCAGACAACAGAAGGTCCACATTCAGACTTTTTCTGGATTCTGTTGTATATTCTTCTTCTCGTAGCTGATTTTAGTCCATATCGTGTAATGTACTATAACTGTGAGAATACAGATTTCTTGTGAGTTCTGTGGATCCTTCTAGGAAATTATGGAAACTGATAGTGGTTTTGGGGATATCCTAAACTTGCACCTGGTATTAGGAGTGAGGGAAGTCTTGTGTGGACTGTGTTCTCTAAATTTGCAGTTGGCTCAAACTCATTTCGTGTGTGTGTGTGGGCGGTGTGCATTTTGTTTTTGTTCATAGTCATAATCTTAAGTACCTAGTACAATTTCTAGCATATAGTAGGTATTCATTAAATGTTATAGTGAATAAATTAATGAAAGTAGCTGAATAGAATAAGTAAGGAACCTAGACAAAATCTAATGAAATTCAATACTAAAGAACCATGTTGAGAAAAGCTTCCAAATAATGTATATCCAAATGGTTTTTATTATATTCAAAATAATGCTTTGGTCTTCAAAATGGTTGCCTCTGTCAGTCACAACTCTTTGAGATTATACATGTGTTTATATTAACTGGGAATATTAGATATGTCTTTTCAGTTTGTAGAAGTCACCACCAGATGGTGATATTTTTATTAGATAATAAGTAATTTTAGTCTTCAGATTCTTCAGTTTATGGAGAAAAGAAATCAGCTATATGCAATATAGTACTTACTACTAATAAAATATAACAGGGTAAGCTATTTAAAAAGTACAAGATATCTACAAGGGTATTTCTTACAGAAACACATTTTTACATTTTAACTTTAAAGAGTAAGTAGACTTTATACTGATGTAGCTTACCTATGCTTACTCTTTCTAAACAAGGATTGGGAGGAGCCATTCATGCATATTCATAGCCCCTATAGATTTTTCTTTAGCTTCAACTACAATTGTCTTGGACAACAACAACAATGGCAATGTGGGGCCCCATCACAGGACCCTGACCTGAGCTGAAGCAGATGTTCAAGTGACTGAGCCACCCCTAATACACCAGAACTTTAAAGTATATCCAGTGTATAGTTAATACAATAGCCAAGGGCAATTAAATGGGAATATCCTAGTTTGGGGTTTTTTTGTTTTGTTTTGTTTTTTGTTTTTCCAGTTCTCCCAGCATAGGCCCAAGTCCAATGAAAAGAAAATAGTACACAAGAGGGAAGGAGTATTACTGTCTTCCAGTCCAGTTCTTGTGCTCTTTAAATCTTGACTTCCATCATCTTCTCCTCTGTATTAAAGCTATGCCAGTTATAAAGGATTTATTTCTATTTAAATCTTTATTATTTTCTTCAGTTTTATTATGATTCTGTTTCTGATTTCCTTGCTGCCAAAAATCATACTGTAAGGGAACAAAATCGCCTTTCTCTTTCATAAAATTATACATCTAAATTTAATATATCAAAGCTTATCTTTTACAAAGCATTATTAGAATATTCAACTTCTG